TGACTGACTTATTTCACTCAGCATAATGTCCTCCAGTTTCATCCATGTTATGAGATGCTTCACAGATTCATTGTTGTTCTTTCCCGTTGCATAGTAAATTTCGGTTATTTTAAACCACTCAGTTTGTGGTACTTTCACCAGCCCTAGGAAACTGATATACCCCTCAGAACCCCTCAGAGTAGGGCAAGCCTCAGTCATTAACAGGGTCAAGGAACAGAAAGAAGGAAAGTAAGACTAAAGGAAGACATATCCAAAACCTCTGGTGCCACCTAAAAGTTGGGTGGCAGTTCTTATTGGGCCTCTGTGACTTCATCCCTGTTCAAGAGGCAGTTTGGTAAGATCATAGTAAAGGGTAGCCAAGACATCAGCTTCTAACAACCAAAGAACACTGCTGCATGAGGCTCTTCCTGAACCTCCAGAATGTCTCACCTAGCTGAACCAGTGAAAATTCCAGGCTGACAAGGGAAGGGGGAAGAGAAGCTGTTCTCCAGGAACTAGACATTGCAAGGGCCAAGAGTGTGATGACCTGATGAAGGGAGCAAGATCATGGACCCACAAACTAAAAGGCAAGTGTTATCAGCTAGGACTGGGATCCATGCTGAGTTGGTGAACCGAGTGATGCCTCTCAAATTCGAAGACAGGTGGGCCTCGCAAATTCAAAGCTTTTGAAGTGGCAGGTCATAGCCAAGTGTCAAAGAGACCATTAATCAATAAATCCCTTATTTTTCTTAAACAAGGGGTTTTTTTTTTTAGCAGTATTTGACTTACTGTGGTGATAATTCTTTGTGAGTGGTCAGGGCTTTCTCTCTGAGAAATATTTAAATGGAAGCTGGGAGAGTACTGGCTATTTACTGTGGGGGTAATGCATCTTGGAACCACCATGTCATTCAGAGGCATTTGGAGGGTGCTAGGCGTCATCTCTGAATCCTTCACTTCTTATAGAATCTACAGCTAGTGCCTCACACTTGGCTGACAGTGATCAGGAGAAAAAGGGCACAGAATAGCCTGAACTTGTATCTTCAGAGCATCGGGCCCAGGGTGGGGACAGGGCACATGGTAAGAATGGAAGGACAGAAGTGGGTAACTGAGCAGCTCTATTCAATTCTACAAAATTCTTGGAATCTCTATTTTGTTTGAAAATAGACTCAGGGAAAGAAAAAGGAAAGTAACATTTATTGAGCGCCGACTGTGTATATGTCTGGCCTTGTGCAAGGAGTTTTCATCTACACTCTTCCATTTAGTCCTCACACCAATCCTGTGAGGTAGGTATCATCCCCATTTTTGTCAGATGAGGAATACGAACGAGGCTCAGAAAGGTTAGGTAGTTTGTCCAAAGTCACACAAGCAGCAGCTGACGGAACTGGGAGTGAGTACTAAGTCTTAGACTCAAAAATCCTGTGCTCTCTATACTGCACTGCCCCTCAGGAAGAAAGAGGGGGCAAAAGCACAACAGTCCTTATACTTCCTACTCTGAGAACCAAGAGGGTCACCAAGAGAAATAGCCCGCAGTTTTCCACAGATGCTCCTCTCTTTACCTTGGAAGGATGCAGTCAGTTTAGGAAGTTAAGACATAAATATAAAAATAAATAACAGGGCCAAGTCCCCCATAGTGTGGGTAGGTTACTATGCCATTTACAGCTGCTGTGGGAGGGAGCTGCTTGGCATTTGGGACCTATGGGGATCACTGGGACAATGGTTGCCAAAGGCTGGAGTGGGTAGGCTAAACAGGCCCCTTCTGGGTCTCACAGATTCGAGAACAAAACATCTCAAGCAGCCAGCAGCCATGGGCAGTTGCCATCATCCTCCATCTGCTTATTTTACCGCTGTCTGTGATCCAAGAGGGATTCAAAATCGGGGGAACACACAAGTTTGTGTTTCACATGTCCCAGGACTGTCATATCACCCGTCCTACTATCTCCAAGGCCCACGGACACCAGCTCCTGCAAATGGACAGAGACAGTGATGAGAACCAAAACCATATACTCCCCTTCCTCTGTTCTATGAATTATCATGTATTTTAATTTTAATAATCCCAAGAATCCTACACCCTTATTTAGAACTGACTCCTCGACTTCATAAAGAGCCTCTACCATGACCCTAAGAGGGCTCACCTGTAGAAAAGAGCAGGAAGTTCCCATCGTTACATCCAGAGTCACCTTGCCCAGGAGGAGCTGCACCTTTCCTGACTTGCGGATGAGCAGTTTGCCAACCTGGCCCTCTGTCAGGTCACCCAAGGTACAGGTATTCTCTGCCAGCCTGGCTTCCTATAAGGAAAACAAGGGGTGAAAAGCTGGGTGAACCTTATTTCATCTCCCAAAGAAGGCATCAAGCAGCAAAGATCAGATGGAGCTCCCCGAAGTGGGCCTTTTTCTAGGACTGACTTCGATTCGTTTAAAAAACAAAACCTAATGCAAACAAAAAAAATCAACAAATGCAGCTATCGATAGCTGCCGAAGCTGGGTGATGGTACGTGGTGGTTTATGTTCTATCAGTGTACATTCAAAATTTTTCATTATAAAAGTAAATGCACACAAAATTGGGGTTGGAGATACAAAGCCCTAAACCCCTTTCAGGTACAAAGAACACATGCCTATTATTCTCTCATTTTAGACTGGGTGACACACCTTTGCTTCCCCAGGTCAGTTTCCTTTCCTGGTCCCACACATTTTCACAGAACTCATTCCTGATCATACCCGATCTTTCTCCTGCTTTATAACCACCGTCTGTCCATCCTCGCTCTGCACTTCTGTCTTGATAGGCTTGATGTCCTGAGTGGGCGGCTGGCCAGGGAGGGTGTCCGGCAGCTGGAGAAACAGTAGTTCTTCCTCCTGGGTGAGGCTCAACTCCCTGAGCAGCTCTGCCACAGACACGTCCTTCGGGAGGCTCGGGGTCTTCCGGGCTGCTCTGGGGGGAGCCTTTATCTTGGTCTCCTCCTCCTCATCTCGTGGCTCCTCTTTCACTGCTCAGGGTAATACAAACAGAAGGGCTATCATGTGTCCACCTTCTGCATCATTTTACTGTACCCACCCCTTCGCCCCTGTCTGCTCCACTGTCACTCAGCCAGGAAGCTGGAGGGAGACACTGGTTGTAGAGAGGGGCAAGAGAAAGCACATTAAACAGCATGTGATTTATCTAAAAAGGGATATCTGATGCTGGGCCTGCTGACCCATGTCAGCACTTGAACCTTCTGAGAGTAAGAATTTAGCATCTTTTTTCAGGTCATGTGTTTTACAGCTGCAAGGAGGGAGGACCTGCTTGTTAGTGGTAGTTTGGGAAGTTCTGTATGAGGGATTCGGGGGGTGAGGGACAGACACAGAGAAGGAGAGAAAAAGCTAACTGACACAAACTACCTTTCACAACAGGCACATCCACCTCCATGTCCTCTTCCTTGGGGCCAGGCAGCCAAGGTTTAACATCTGGTTCTTCATTCTCTTCCTTAAACAGCCACCCAGAGTGAGCCAGAGGCAGCTGTACAGGCATGTTTCGATTATCATTCCTCAGCCCAGGGTCATCGATGAACTGTCAAAGAGTTGGAAGGGTCACATGGTCTGGCCAGCACAAGTACCTGTACTGGAGTCCACCTGAGTCCCTTTCTAACCGAAGATTCCTGCTGCTCACCAGGATTCCAGGACACCAGAGAGCTCTTCCTCCCCTGACCTTGGCTCCCCAGAAGCCCTTTCCCACAGCCACACCAGAGCCCCTCCTCCCCAGCCCCTAGGACCTACATCATCCTTCTCCAGCATGCGCAGGATCTGTTTTGTTTCTTCATCCGTCTCCCTCTTCTCTTTTTTGATGTTGATGATATGAGAGGGCCCCATGTCTGACATATCCACTGTCTTATCCCAGTTCCCTATGGAAAATCACGCAAGTCACTAGGGATAAGAAAGACACCAACAGCGAGGAAAAGTAAACGGGGAGCAGGGGAATTTCATTGCCCTTGCCCTTCTCTCAGCAGTCTAAACCGAAATCCACTACTGATTCCTTCCTCTTGGAGCCCCAGCAGCCTTGTACCTTTTTTCTTCATCATTTCAGCTGGGCCCTGCTCAAAGATGGAGTGGGACTGGATCACTTCTGGGCGACCCCGGCCGCGTCCATGTCCTTCTCGCTGTCGGTCTCTATCCCTTTCACGCTTCTCCTTCTTGACAATTACTTCTTCCTTAGGCCTGAAAGAGAGAATGAATTAAAGGAAACCACTCACTTAGAGTGCCTCAGAGAACTTGTCTTACTCTCCCACACCACTCCATTCCAACTGAGCAGAGTTTATGAGCCAACAGGTAAGTCGTGAAGAGAAGCAGAAGTCAATCCTAAGTCTAGCATCTTTTTCACTTCCTTGACGGGACAGAGTCCTTTCAGTTGGCTTTACTTTACCATTTTGTTTAAGAGTATATGTTAGAACTGTAACTCAAAATTTGAACGACAGAAACTGCCCAAACATGTAGCTTCTTTTTTTTTCTACTGACTGAAAACAGGGAGACTGTAATGCAAAGAGATGTAAGGAAAAACAATACATCTTTGTTTAAACTAGCGGGCTCCCAACCATGGCTGTGTAAGAGAATCATTCCATTCCACTGTAAAAAAGTTAAATTACAATTTCTAGGGATAGAGTCCCAGGCACTGATATTTTTTTAAAGCTTGCACACTTGAATCACCTGGGAGCCAGGCTTGAAAATCACCGGTGAAAATAATTGAACACCCAAGTTTAATTTTCTGAGCCACATACCTTTGTGTGTCCCAAACACACAAAGTAAAGCCCCAAATTCAGAGCAAGTAAACGTGGGGCAGGTATTCGGAGGCCTAGCTACTTACTCTTCCTTGATCTTCCGACTGATGATGTTTGGGGTGAAGGTTTTCTGAAAGTAAAATACAGGAGTCACTGATTTGACTAGCTCAAACCCCAAAATACAGAGGAAAATGAAACTCCCAAAGGGCATCTTCTAAAGACCAAGGTCATCCTAGCTCTCTGCTACACATGTGACACTGTGGCCAGAGATTCTGAGGTAGACATGGACCCAAAGAAGGTCTACCGCGGTGGCAATGAGTTACACAGAGCGGACTGAGACACCAAAAACCATTTTAACTAGCAGCCTCAGCTTCTGTCCTCCGAAAAGTTCTAAAACCAAAAGAATTTATCTCATCTCATCTCTCGTCTTCAAACTGCTCTAGAGACCAGTCCGTAACAGAAGGAAGCAGCTCTAGCAGCAAAGCTCAACAGGAGATCTGCCGGCACTCATGAAAGACTGCCACTCAAATTTCCCAAGACAAAAGTTCCTAAATACTGGCTGCTTTGTGTTTCTGTCTTTTTCTCCCCTTTTCAGGGCTACCCTTTACATCTACAGGCATAAACATAACGTGAGAGAACACAGAGCCTCTAATGCTATGCCTTCATTATTGGGTAGATCAGAAGTTGTACACCCAGATCCACGGAGAATTCCGAAGCCTCGAAAACTGCAGGCACACATTTATGCTTGCTCCGCTTTCATGGGTTTCTCAAAGGTGTTCCAAACACACAAAGTAAAGAAACACTGCTCAAGCTGCTTTTGGATCTTGGACTAATTAGGATCCTCTGTGAGGAGGCCTGGTGGGGCAGTGGTTAAGCGCTCGGCTGCTAACCGAGAGCAGAAAGGTGGGTGGTTTGAACCCACTAGCTGCTTCACAGGAGAAAGATGTGGCAGTCTGCTTCTGTAAAGATTTACAGCCTTGGAAACCCTATGGGGCAGTCTACTCTGTCCTATAGGGTCGCCATGAGTCCGAATTGATTCAGCGGCAATGGGTTTGGTTTTTTGTTTTGGTCCTTCAGCTGCCTCTGGGAACCATCTCAACATCTTGTACCCAGAACCTAGACTTGAAAGTTCAACCAGATCCCCTGAATTTAAAGAGAGGTAGGCGGAAGTCTGGGCACAAGATTTATGAGGGTCTCGACACCATGCCTGCCACACAGTGTAGGCCCTATATCAGGGTACTTAGGTTTCTTTAGAAAGGCTACCTTCTTGACTCCCCCGAGGGTGAGGTCCCTGGAGCGGACGGAGGGAAGGCGCCCCGCGGTAACGGCGGGCGCCGGCCGCCTCCCGATAAGCCCCCGGGCTCCAGAGAGGAGGGGTCGGGGCCCTCCGGGGATGCTGGGCTCGCCCGCAGCGTTTCCTTCCGACATGTTGCCTGGGAGAAAAAAGCAAAGAGGCAAGAAAGTCACCCGAGGGTGCGGACACGCGAACTGTAGGCGTAATCCCAACCACGTGGCCTCCTGCCCCCCAACACAGTGTGTCCCTCCCTGTCTCAGCTCCTCCCCCCTCACGTGGCAAGATCCCCAGACCACCGGGTGTGAGGCTAAGCTCGCGACCCCAGCCCGCTGCCCCTCGCCCTCTCCTCAAGCCCTCTGGTCAGGCACGAAGCAGGGACGCACTCCAGAGCACCCCGAGCACCGGGCTGCGGCTCTACAACACGCGCGTCACGACTTCACCTCCGACACAAGCCCCGGCTGGCACTCAGTCTCCGCGCTAGGCGGAAGTCTGCGTGGCAGGGCCCGGGCGCCGCCATTTTGCCGCGGGGCGGAAGTGAGGTCCGGTGGGCGGGGCCGGGGCACAGTATTTATCAAGCGGCGCCTCGCTCTCCTCCGCCTTCTCTTCCCGGTTCTTCCCGGAGTCGGGAAAAGCTGGGTTGAGAGGGCGAAAAAGGATGAGAGGACGGGTTTAGGTTACAGTAGGATGTTGTGCTAAGGGGTCTGGCCCCGGAACGGACGTGGGGGCGCCGAGCTCGTGGTCTGGGGTCCTTGACAGCCGCCACGCCACAACGTGAGGATTCGCCTCCGCGCAGTCTCTGGGACCAATGGGGTCGCAGCACGGATGGGGTGCGGGCCAGAGAGAGACCCGGACTCAGATTCGGGGAGCCCTGGGCCAGGGCCTAGTCATGGCCGCGGCGGTTGCGGCTGTGGACTTTCGATAGTGACCTTGGAGTGGTCACTGTATCTCCGGCAGTGGTCTCGCTCGCCGTCGCTCTTGCTCGGAGGCTTCTTCTTTGAACTCCGAGTGGGGTCCTGGTGTGGGACTTTGGGGGCAGCGCTGAGCAGCTGCAGCGAACGAACCTAGTGTTTAGTCGCACCCACGCTGGGCTCACGACCGTGGGGGCTCTTGTGTCCGCTCTTGGTTAAAGCCTGGAAGGTACCTGAAAAATGAAGTTTGCCGGAGAGACAAATTTAAATAACTTTTTATTGTGATTTTGACGTTTGTGATTTAACATAAGAAATGTCCTTCAATGTTACACCCTCCACACTACACACCATATAAAACCATGCAACAACATTACGGAAAGTTTAGGGAAAGGAAAACATTTCTGCTAGAATTCCACCATAACCAAACCAAAAAAAACCCCAAAACAAGCCCCACTGTTGTAGGGTCGATTCGGACTCATAGTGACCCCACCAGAGTATTATTATTAAAATTTTGGTAACATGTTCCTGTATCCTTACCAGAGTCTTCATGATGTACTACAATTTTGTATCCTCCTTTGGGTAATTCTCCATTGGGTAGTGTTATGGATTGAATTGTGTCCCCCCGAAAATACATGTTGCAATCCTAATCCCTATACCTGTGGATGTAAATCTGTCTGGAAATAAGGTTTTCTTCGTTATGTTAATGAGACCATATCAATGCAGGGGGTGTCCTAAACCCAATCACTTCTGAGTTATAAAAATGCAGAATAGACACAGAAGCAAAGGAACACGATCGGGAAGATAGATGCTACTAGATCACCAAGGAGCAGCAGGACTTGAAACTCAGAAAAAATCTTCCTCGTAGACTCTGCAGAGAGAGAGCAGTGAATTTGGACTTCTAGCCTCCTACACTGTGACAAAAACAAATTTCTGTTCCTTAAAGCCACCCACTTGTGGTATTTCTGTTACAGCAGCACTAGCAAACTAAGGTAGGTATATCATGACTTATCTATTTCTCTGTTGTTTGGACACTTAGATTGTTTTTTTTCCCTGTTGTAAATAACTCTGCAGTGTACATCTGGTTCATTTAATGTTTTTTCTTCTTTTGGATTATTCCCATGAACAAATGTCCAGACCTGGGATAACTGATCTAAAGAACATGTGCATTTTTGAAAATAAACTTTCTATTTTGAGATAATTGTAGATATATTCACAGTTGTGAAAAATAATGCAGAGAGATCTCAAGTGCCGTTTACTTGGATTCGCCAAATAGTAATATCTTACAAAATTATGGTACAATCTCACAACCAGCATAGTGACGTTGATACAGTCAAGATACAAAATAGTTCTATCACCACAAGGATCCCTCCAGTTGCCCTTTTATAGCCACACCTACCTACCTCCCTCTCCTTGCCCTCCCCTGACAAACACTAATTTGTTCTCCATTTCTATAATATTGTCATCTATATGTTACATATATGGACTCATACGGTACGTGACTCCTTAGGATAGCTTTTTTCACTCAGCTTAATTCCCCAGAGATTTTCCAAGTCATTGCATGTATCAATAGTTCATTCTTTTTCATTGCTGAGTATCCATAGTATGTATGTACCGCAGTTTAACCCTTCACTCTTTGAAGAATATCTGAGTTGTTTCCAGTTGTTTACTGTTATGTATAAGGTTGCTGTGGACATTTGCATGTAGGTTTTGTGTAAGCATAGGTTTTCATTTCTCTGGGATAAATGCTGCTGTTGAGTTGCCCTTGTACAATGGAATGAAATGCTACCAGTCCTGTGCCATCCCCATGATTGGTTTCGGGTCAGACCTTGAGATCCATAGAGTTTCCATTGGCTGATTTTCAGAAGTAGATCACCAAGCCTTTCTTCCTAGCCTTAGTCTAGAAGCCCTACTGAAATCTGTTCAACATCATAGCAACACACAAGCCTCCACTGACAGAGCATGGTGGCTGCACCTGAGGTACATTGGCTGGGCAAGAATTCAACCATGGAACCGCTAATGCCTCAGTCATATGAGTTGTATGCTTAGTTTTATGAGAAACTGCCAAACTTTTCTACAGTGGCAGTACATTTTATGGTTCTTCATCAATGTTGCTAAATTGCTTTTAAAAAGGATTGTGCTGAGTTGTATCACTACCAAGAATATATATAAAGAATATATATAACATATAAGAACACATGTAATGTTTTGCCTTATCCTTTTGAATATTGGCTCTTAAAATTTTCAACTTATTTTTGCTAATTTAATACTATATTAATATTATATTAATATTGTGTTATGTTTGTGTCTAACCAGATTTTTTTCAGCTTGTCTTCTCCGTATTGGTTTCGGGATAACCAAACAAAAACCCTACACACAGAGGTTCTTAGCTTCTGACTGAAGCACCAGATGAAATTTCTTTGATCTGATTCTCTGGGCTTTGAGGTCCACCAGGCATTTTCCAAAACAAAACAAAACAAACAAACAAAAAAACCAAACCCGTTGCTGTCAAGTCAATTCCGACTCATATCGATCCTGTAGGACAGGGTGGAACTGTCCCATAGGGTTTCCAAGGAGTAGCTGTTGGATTCAAACCGTCAACCTTTTGGTTAGCAGCTGAGCTCTTAACTGCTGCACCACCAGGGGTCCACCAACCTTTTAGCAGCTCCTAATTTTTTTGTTTTGTGTTGCAAAGATACTCATTCATTGCAGAAAATTTAGAAAGTTTTAAAAAGCACCCAGAAGAAAATGAAAATCATCTATTATTATCACATCAACTGTTATATGTACTTGATGTTGGTTTTTCTATGCATGTAGATTTTTAAAATTAAGATATTTTACATATGGTTCTATATTCTGCTTTTTTCCTCTTAACAATAAACATTTTTTCTGAGTTATTAAATATTCCAAGTTATTATTTTTAATGGCTAAATAGTACTCCACATTGTTGCCTTGCACCATAATTTGTTTAACCGGTTACCTTCCTGCACTATTTGTTGGATTTCCACAACATGTTTCACTCCAAAAGGACAAAAGAGAAGAAAGATTTCCCGGTAAATCAGACCTTCTACTTTTTCATTTTGGGGTTACTTTCTAAAAATGGTTACTAGGATTTCCCTTAGGAATATTCCCCAACTTTCCTCTAATTAGGCTAATATACTTTCAGCACCATTCTTCTTTCTTTCTCTTTCTCTTTCCTTTCTCCCTAAGAGTGTCCATTGCTTTATCTAGCCTCAAAAGAAACATGTAAATTAACTAGCTAAACTCCATGAAAGTTGTGATTGTAGCAGCTCTTAAATGTCATTAATAACATTTTACCACATTTATTTTCACATATTTTATAGTGAAGACAATAATCTCATTCTTTTCTGATAAACTAATGCTTGAATTCTTAAGAAAAATACACAGTTTTCTGAGTCTGTCTTAGTCATCTAGTGCTGCTATAATAGAAATACCACAAGTGGATGGCTTTAACAAACAGAAGCTTATTGTCTCACAGTCCAGGAGGCTAGAAGTCCAAATTCAGGGCATCAGCTCCAGGGAAAGGCTTTGTCTGTTGGCTCGGGAGGAAGGTCCTTGTCATCAATCTTCCCTTGGACTAACAGCTCCTCTGCGCAGGAACCCCAGGTTCAAAGGATGTGCTCTGCTCCCGGCTCTGTTTTCTTGGTGGTATGTGGTCCCCCGTCTCTCTGCTTGCTTCTCTCTTTTATATCTCTAAAGAGATTGGCTCTAGACACAATCCAGTTTTGTAGATTGAATCCTGCCTCATTAACATAACTGCCGTCTATCCCACCTCATTAACAAAGAACTAGGATTTACAGCACATAGGATAATCACATCAGATGACAGAATGGTGGACAATCACACAATACTGGGAATCATGGCCCAGCCAAACTGATACACATATTTTTGGGGGACACAATTCAATCCATGACAGGGTCTAAATACAGGTTTCAGAAGGTATAAGCATATTCTGTCAAAATCCTGTTCCTGTGAATTCTTGATGGGCATTGAAAACACTAATAAGGAACTACTTTGAATACTTTTCAGTAGAGTAAAAGGAATGCGTGGTATGAGAATGCTATCCGAATTCAAGCACTTACATGTCCTCTACATGTAATCCATCCTAATTTATTTGTTTCATTTTGCAGGATATTCCTTCTCAGTCTCCTTTGGTGGTTCCTCCTTGACGTCTAAACATTGCAGAGCTCTAGGATTCGGTACTTGGA